CCCCAGACAGGGTATCTTAGTTAGGGTTTCTGTTGCTGGTACAAACCACCATGACCCAAAAGCAAGTTGGGGAGGGAAGGGTTTATTTGGCGTACACTTCCCTCACTGGAAGGGAGTCAGGCAGGAGCTCAAGTAGAGCTGGAATCTAGAAGCAGGAGCTGAGGCTGAGGCCACGGAGGGCGCTGCTCCCCATGGCTTGCTCTCCCTGCGTCTTTATAGAACTCAGGGACACCAGCCCAGCGATGGACCCACCTGTAATGGGCTGGGCCCTCCCCATCAATCACTGGTTGAGAAAATACCTTACAGCTGGATCTCACGGAGACATTTTTCTCAGCTGAGGCTCCTTCCTCTCTGAGGACTTCGGCTTGTATCCAGATGACACATAAAACCAGCCAGTACACAAAGTCTCACTATGTAGCCCTAGATAGCCCAGAACTTAATCTGTAGCCAGGCTGTCCTGAGATGTGCAGCACTCTTCCTGCCTCTACTCCTCAGGTGCCAGGATCACAGGTGTGCACCATCATTTCCGGCTCATTTAAATGTCTTCTGCAGAAAATTGCCTGCTGCTGTCTCAGTGTGTAATATTGTCTGCTTGAAAGGACCTGGAACCACTCTTGGAGAGACAAATCTCCGGGTTATCCATGAGGAATTTTCTATTCTGGGTTAATTGAAGTGCAAAGACTCATCTGAAAGATAGGGGGCGCTCTTCCATGGGCTGTCGTCCTGGGCTGCATACATACAACTATCTTGTCGCCTCACACTCCTGCCAACAGCCCTTCTCCAGCATGTGGCACTGTGCCCTCAAACCACGAGCCAAAACAAACCCCTCCTTTCTCTCTCTTTCTCCTTTTTGATTTTTCGAGACAGGGTCTCCCTGCGTAGCCTTGGCTATCCTGGTCTCTTTGTAGACCAGGCTGGCCTTGAACTCGCAGAGATCCTCTGCTTCACTGGGAGCTGGGATTAATGGCAGGCATGCACCACCATGCCGGGCTCAACCCCTCCCTTCTTAAGTCCCAGCGACAAAAACAACGAATAAGCTAGCTTTTGCCCATTTTCCCTTTACAGAAACCAGGGTGGGGCCCCTTTTCCTTAATGCTTTGTGAGAATTGTTTGGTTACCTTTGTTTTCCACACACACATTTATGGCCCTCTTTGTGCCTTCTTTCTCTTGTTAGCATATCTTTTCGGGTTCATCTGCACAGCAGCAGCGGTGCTTCAGTCCTCCAGGCCTCTTTACGACTGAGTAACATTTGCTTATAGGTACTGACTGTAACTAATTTGTCTCCTGATGGACATTCAGGGTGTTTCCGCTTGGAGGCTATCACAAATCCTGCTGCTGTGAACATGTGTAAACAAATATTTGAGTACATATATTTAGTCTGGGGCTTTGTAGTCTAGTCTCACAGTTAGTATCTATCTGTTTAGCTAATATTTTCTCACTCATTCATGGAGTCTCTGGGCAGTGTTGACCAGCTGCCGAGTGCCAGGCACTGTGCTGAACTTCAGAGCACAGCGGGATATATGTAAGAACTCCTGCCCCCTCCCTGAAGGCAAGGATGGGAGGAGGTTCTGAGGCCCTAAAGGAATTTTTCCAGGATGGAGGAGTAGATGGTTACGGAAGTTCTGAGGTAAAGTTCTATCTGAAGTTAGAGCAGAGGAGGTGAAAAGAGCCTTCAGGAAGAGAGCCCTGTGATGGGTGGATTTCAGAACTCAGGGATGGGAAATAAAGGTCAGGCCATCAACGGGAAACAGGCTGGAAACTGCATGGGAAGAGGAGGACCAGAGAGTGGGCCACATGTGCTTGGGAAGGCTTCCCATGCATAGGGAGATGATGGAACGCGTGTTCCAAATGCTCCAGGGAGAATGACCTGAGATGGCCAGTGTGGGGTGGGCTCTAGGGCGTGGTGAGGTTAGCTCTGGCATGCCATTGAATTATTACTGAAGAATTATTGCTATAGCCTGGGTAGTGGCATATGCTTTTGATCCCAGCGCTTGGGAGGTGGAGGCAGACGCAGAGAGACCTTTGAGTTTGGGGCCAGCACTGTCAGCATAGTAGATTCCAGAACAGCCAGTGCTACACAATGAGACTGTGTCTTTAAAAAAAAAAAAAAAGATTATTTTCTGTGTGGGGTATAGCTCAGTTGTAAAGTGCGTGCCTATAAGAAGGCCCTAAACTCAATCCCTAGTACCGCACACAAAACCAGAATTTTTATAATAAGATTATAACTAGCTGATCTCTGTTTGTGTTTGTTTTTGAGGCAGGGTCTTTCTTATGTCACACTGACTTTAAACTCACTTTCTAGCCAAGGATGCCTTTGAATCCTCCTGCCTTTACCTCGCAAGCAAATGCCACTGTGCTTATGAGTTAGAGAAAGTAGAGATGTGGTGAAAATAATAAGAGTATTGGAGTTCAAGCTCATCCCTGGTTATGAAGTGAGTTTGAGACCCTGTTTCAAACAACAAATCTAAACCCCCCTCCTCCCAAAAAGACTGAATGTTTGGAGGGGAGACCAAAAACCCAGATGACCTTTTGAGAAAGTGCATTTTCTAAAACGAGACCAGCTTTCAAAAGCAGTGCTTTTAGACAGTGCTTTTAGCTGGACAGCAGAACGCTAAGTGTGGCAGCGGGCGGCCAGCCGGGTGTCCCAAGCCTGAGAAATGGCACCCGAGAGAAACGTTGAGGCAGTCGACCAATCAGGAGTAACTTCCAAGAGCCTTGGGGTGGAGGGAGCCGCTCCGGCTGCGGGCGTGGCCTCCTACTATCCAATCAGAGCGGCGGATCCGGACACCTCTTTTTGCTGCTGTGGCAACGAGACGCACAAACTCTCGTGGGCGCCCGTGGCGGTTTGGTTTGGGCTCATGTCATGTCGCGACAGAAGGTAGGAGTGGGACACCAATCCGATGCTCTCGATGTCCTTAGAGGAAGGGAAACCGCGGAGGAATTCCGAACCGGAAGGCTGGGTGCAGTTTTAGAGGGAAAAAGAATACTCGGGACTCTCTAAGATCTACAAATTGCGACATGCCGTTTGCTACATAAACTGAGGCACACGCTCTTTTTGGCGGGAAATGTACTCAGTTTAGACTCTAAACTGCAGCCAGCGGTTTCTGTGGGCCCTAGATACTTTCCTGACTTAGAGAAATCTTTAGTTTCTTTCACACACCTGCTCCCCCACACCATTTGAACTGTCCATTCACCTATCATCTATCCATCCATCCAAAATAGTTCCGGTAGTGGCTTTTCCAAGCCCAGTGCTATCTGAACTTCATGTCAGACAAGCTCTTGCACTCTAGGAACTGACAGATCAACTCTGATATTAAGGTCAAGAAAAATGAAATCGAAAGAAGGGAAATGAGCCTCCTGAGAACCCAACAATTCTGGCCCCAACCTGCTGCTCATCTAGTGTTTCAGCTTCTCAGAACGCCACCTCTGTTTCTTTCCCTGTCACAACAAAAACCGAGTCTGTCAACCAGCACATTGCCGGCGGTTTACTCCTTTTACCAGGATTTATTATTCCGTCTAATGTCGCTCAGCGTCAGTCTTTCCTTCTAGACTCCAGGGTCGACTTGCCCCCTGTACTTGCACCCCAGTGCCAAGCACAGAGCCTGCGTGTGGTTATCACTGTTGCCTGCTGTTGATCAAGTCAGAGAAGCCGAGGTGCTACCCTGACTCCTCTTTTCATCTCCTGCATGCAGTAAAGCCTTCTCTTTTGACTGTGTGAATTTGTACTGAATTTATTCCCTCTACTTCTATGACCACTGTGCTAACTCACTTCTTAATTAAAGCAACACTCTCTCCACACACGGGTTGGGAGATGACTCACCATTAAAGTGTCATTCACAAAAGCAAAACAGGCATCCACTGCGGTAGCCCTTTCCATGCAGCGTGTTCTCTTTTGACACTGAAAATGTCAAGGAACCCCATCTTGTTCTGACTCCCACTTGTTTGCTGAGACAGTTCTCCCTCTACCCCATCCCACACAGCAGTCAGGTCTGTCTTGGCAACACATTTGAGAGTTGCATGGCCTTGGCTGTGGTCCAGTTGTATTAACCAAAATAAAGTGAACTTAAACAACTAGAAAAGATATAATTAAAAAACGATTGGCACGTTCCATCTAAAATAATTACTATGCGCTTCCAGGAATGAACGTTTCAAGGTTACTTTGAGCCTCATCTAATTTTTGATGTAGATCATGGTCCTTGTGGGGTTTGCCTTGAAAAACTCTGCCCCTCAGAGCTTGGGCACCAAAAGGCACAAGCCTGCTCTTGGCTGGGCTATAAATAAAAAGGACTTAAAAGTTTTAGTTTGCTTAAGCAGAGTGATTGTCAGTTAATTATCTTGAGTGGGTCATTTCAATGGCAGCTAGAAGATGGGGTCATTTCCCCCATGAGTTAAAGAATTACAAGACAGAAAGTGATGTCAGGGCAAAAGGAAAGTTTATTGGTGATCATTGCAGAATCCTGAGGCAGAGGAGGAGGCCACGGAGCTGGCAAGTCTGTCAGCTCTGAAGGGAGTTTGGGGTTTGGGGGAGCTGAAGGTATTCCACCTCTTGTCCTCTCTCTATCAGTCTAAAGGTATCTACGTGGCCCTTCTTCGGCGGGGACTGGGGCTCTCTTTGTTCATGATCACACAAACGGCTGCAGCCAGACCCCGCCTGGTGCTGCATGAGCAGAGAAGCAGCCGTGATAGGCTCTTTGCCCTAGTGCACCAGTACAGAAATGCTTGCTGGTTGGCCTGGGCAGGACTCATCGCCCCACCCCCTGTGCCTTTCCGGTGTAATGAGGGCACTGCATGTAGGAGAAATATTTGTAGAAATGCGTGTGTGTGTGTGTGTGTGTGTGTGTGTGTGCCTGTGGTATGCCTGTGTGGCATGAGGCCCTGTGTGGCATGGAAAATCTTTGAGCTCCTGGGTTGCTGAGCACGGGGCTGGGAGAGTGGTACACTGGCAGGCAGCACGGAGCTCCACAAGCCTCGTGTACTTGTTTGATGTGTCCCCTCCTGCCTGCTATCTGTCTGTCACTTGTGTATGTTGTCATAGACAAGTGAGTCCTTAGCTCTGATAAACCACCTGACATTTCAGAAAGTCACCAAGTCTCTTCTGAGAATTCTTAACCTTGGATGGGTCCTCAAGCCTCTCTGGGGACAGTGGACAGTGACATCACATTTAGAGTTCATGGTGTGGGGAGATGGTTCAGTGTGTACACTGAGGACCCAAGTTAGGATGCCCAGAACCAAGATGAAGCTGGGCATGGTAGCACACTTCTGTAATCCCAGCACTCCTGGGGTGAGATGGGAGCTGGGGACAGGAGGCTCTCTGGCAGCTTGAATGCCAGCTTGCCTGGCATACAGGGTGGTAAACAACAAAAGAGACCCTGTCTTAAGATGGAAGGGAAGGACTGATACTCAGGGTTGACCTCTGACCTCCACATGCGTAGCAAGGCCATGCATTCTCTGCCTCTCTCTCTTTCTCTCTCCCTCTCACACACACAGTTCTTGTGGTGTCAGACAGGAGTAAACACCAGACATCTCTGGAGAACTGGAACTTGATGACCATGATGGGTGAATAATAGGATTCTCAGTGAAAGATGTTTTCGGTGAATTTCATAGTATTTCCATAATTTTGTAAGCAAAGATGCCTTAAGTAAAAAACAAACTGTTTAAATAAAATACTTGTTCATGATAAATCCTCAAAAAACTAGGGAACAGCAGAACGTTTACCCCTTTTGGCACAGGCAATTATAAGAACCTATAATGACATTATTCTTTCAAACAAAATTTTATTATATATAAATATATTTTATTTATGTTCCATGGCTCATGTGTGGACATCAGAGGACAAGTTTCAAGAGTCCATTCTTTCCACTCTGTGGGTCTCCAGTATTGACCTCAGATAGCCAGGCTTGGTTGCAAACGTCTTTACCCACTGAGACATCTCGCTGGCCTCAGCAACACCATTTTTAAAACTTGAAACAGGAAATGTCCCTTAAGGCCAGGCACAAGTTGAGCACTGAGGTTTTAGACACTGCAGCTGAGCTGCAAAAATAAACAGAAGACATGGACATTGAAAAGGAGAGAGTAAATCTGCCTTTGTTCATGTTTAACGTGTATATACACAGACATTAGGAGGGAATCTACAAGCTACCGCCATTGGTGGTTCAGCAAGGGTGCTGACCGCAGGTTCCTACTCATTAATCGGCTTTGCTTCCGTTGTATCTGTCTTCACTGGAACAGGCTACTGTAAGTCTGGTGGCTTAGAGAGCTAGTTACCTGACAGGCCTAGTGGTCGGAGTGTGAAGTGAGGTGCTGAGTGGAGGCGCGGTGTCGAGCCCTGTTCCTGGCAGAGGCCGTTTTTCAGGCCTGTTCCGATATCTAATGGCATGCCCTTCCTCAGTGGCTTCCGGTCTCCTTTCACCATCAAAGCCCCTCTTGCTCACACTCATCACTCTCACAATCCCAGCTGCTTCACCCACAGTTATAGATCAGTGTGATTACATCAGGCCTATCCAGATAACAGAATGGTTTTTATGGTAAGGTCACTGGATTCCCTACTTAGTTCTAGCCAGGCATTGATTTTCTTCACCTGTACTGTAACAGGCTCTAGGGGTTTGGGCATGGACGTCTTTGGGGTGGTATTTTTCTGCTTATCATAAATTAGTATCATCAGCTAATTTAAAAACTAAAAAAAAGTAAATATCCATGTACCGGGGTGTGAGGGAGAGGGCTCAGTTGGTAAAGAGCTTGCTATGCAAGCTTGAGGACCTGAATTTGATCTTAACTACCCACATCAGAAACAAACAAACAGCAACAACAAAAAACTAGGCGTGGCAGCCTGCACTTGTGAACCCAGCACTGGAGAGGGGGAGTCTCGAGGATTCCTGGGGCTCTCCGGCTACCCAGTCTAGCTGAATCCATGAGCCCTAGTCCAGTGAGAGACACTACCTCAAAAGCTAAGGTGATGAGTGACTGAGAAAGACACCCAACCTTGACCTCTCTGGCCTTCACATGCATGCAAACATATATGCCTGCTCATCTGTCTTCATGTGTACGCCTAGCATCAAAAATATATTTATAATAACATCACAGTATTGATTACCTACAAATAAAATTTAATTAAAACTTACAATATTTCCATACAAAACAAAAACAAACCCCAGAAAGTATTTGGTAAAAAAATAAAATTGACATATTAGTAGAGAGATAAACCATGTTCATGGATTGGAAGACTCAGTACTTTATGATGTCACGTCTTCCCATGAATGATCTATTCAGTGTAATCCCAACAAAAATCCCAACATGCCTTAAATACAAATTGTAAAGCATATTCTAACATTTGTGTTGGTGAGCCTGGGGATGTAGCTCAGTGGTGGAGGCCCTGGGTTCAATCCTAGCATCAAAAGTAAAGCTTATAATGAAGTACAAAAGACTGTTCATTGCAAAGACAACATAAAATAAACAAAGGCAGAAAACCGAAGTTGGTGGACTTAGACATTTGATGTCGAGATTTACTAGAAAATTACGGTCCTCAAGACAATGTGATCTGAGCTTGGCAGCACAGGCCTGTAAACCCAGCCTCTAAGGAGGATGAGGGAGCTAGATCATAAATTTAAGGCCTACTTAAGCTACAGTGTGTGTTGAAAGGCCAGCCTGGGCAACTCAGACCTTGCCTCAAAAAGAAAAAGTAAAAGAAAGCTGGAGTGGAGGGCCCAGGGTGTCCCTTGGTTGTAGAGCGCTTGCCTAACACATACAAGGCTCTGGGTGTGAGCCCCAGCATGGCATTCCTCTCGTCCCAGGACCGGAGAGCTGGGAGCAGGAGGATCAGAAGTTCAATGTTGTCTTCAGTTATATAACAAGTTTGCACTTGAGGCTAGCCCAGGCTGTATGAGAACCTACTAAGACAAAACAAACCCAAACAGCTTTGGGTATAGCTCAGCGTTGTCTAGCACATGCCAGGGCCCTTATTCAACTCTTGATTGCTTAGAAAAAAAAAATGTGGTAGTGACGTAGGATGGGAAGCAACTAAATAAAACAGAACAGAGGGCTGGGAGACGGCTCTGGAGGGAAAAATCTCTCTGTGCTAGCACAAAGATTCTAGCATGTATGTGAAAACTGGGTGTGGGCTGCAAAGATAGCTTAGTGTTCAACTGCTTGCCACTTAAACATGAGGACCCAAGTTAGGGTCCCCAGAATTCATGTAAATGCCCGGTAGGCATGCTGACCCACCTGTCCTTCCACCCTCAAAGGTCAAGATGGGATTCCCAGAACTAGCTGGATAGCCATATTAACCATATCGGCAAACTCTGGGTTTGATTGAGATACTCTGTCTCAGTGGGTTTGATTGAGATACCCTGTCTCGGAAAACAAAACGAACATCAAACAAACAAACAAAACTTGGGAACTCGTCTCAGCTGACGAGTTACCAAGGACATCCATCCTACCACCCCAAGCAACTGGCTTGGAGCCACATTGTGACTGAGCGTGGAAGAAGCCCGAGCTCTAGAAGAGAACCATCTCCCAGGGTAGCATCAATGCAGTCCTTCTTCCAAGCCGCTGCATCTGTGGTTCTGTGTCAAAGGGCAACAGAAGAGCCCCCACACACATACCCAGAAGACGTCATGTTGCACAGGAACAGTTTGTTCCCTATTGACGCATGTCTCAGGGACTGACCTACCAGGACTGGGGCCTGTCTCCTTGGAACTTGACTTGGGCCAGACAATACCCTCACCCGTAGAGAACTGGGTGTAAGAAAATCACTCTGAGAAATGGGCACACTCCCTTCCTAGATCTTGTGTACAGCCAACATTCAAAGTTAAGAATGGATGGTCCAGATTCTTAGGGGGCCAGAGGAACCCTCAAGCTGGGCTTTGGGTTCATATTTGGGGCACTGATTAGCAATTCTTCAGTAATGGGGAAGTCATTCCTTGGTAAGCAGGTTAAGTTCTGCCCGGATTTCTGGGCAGAGATGAGGGAGAACCCAGCCAGGCTGGGCCGTTCTTGCCTGAGGACGTATGCCCCATCACGTGCCTCGGTCTGAGCAGCTCGCTCCCTGAGTAGGGTGAGCAGGGAAGGCAGGCAGCTGTGCGAAACCCGGCACATCCTTTTTCTTTTCTCCCCACAGAACCCAAGTTACAAGGCCCATGGACTGCCAAAAGGAAAAGAGCGGTGAGTGGTCTCAGTCCGCTCTACAGGACAGGCCCTCCTTCTCTCCCCCTCCCCCACTCCTTTCCACCCCTTCCTTAATCTTTCTCTCTTTACCCTTTCCACACCTGTCTTTTTGAGTTACGGGTATGCCTCTGTGGCCCAGGCTGACCTTGAACTCACAGTGGGGATAACAGGTATGCTCCGGGACACCTGACCACCTCTCCGTTATTTAGTTCAATAATTATGACTGCGACCTTAGCGGACACAGTAAAGTTGTTGACTGGTATCTGCGAGTCAGGCCCTGGGCCACCACACCCCTCCCCCTGCTGTCACCAAATCCTTACCACCACCCTGGATGTGGAGCTGGCTAACGTGTCCACTGTGCAGATGAAGAAAGTGGACAGTCAGAGAAACCAAGGGCCTTCCTGGAAATCCCACAGCTGTGGGGCAGGGCTGGCCGGCCTTGGGAACCACTATCTGACCTCATCAGTCCTGGAAACCCAATGCTTTCAGTATTCAGCGATCCCTCCCCTCTGGGCTCTCTGGGTTCATAACGGCCTGGGCTCAGCACCTACTAGTCTGCCCCAAGCACAGCCCGCTTGGACCAGGCAGGGAGCACTGCTCTTTGCTGCAGACTCACTGAGGTTCTTTGGCTGGGCCTGCAGTGAGCAGGTGCGGTGACTCCAGGTGGTTCTCTCCGGCAAGGCATCTGCAGACGGAGCCTGGCTCTCCTTCCTCCCTTTTGTCCTGATCCTCGGGGACATCCCAGGAAAGTCACTGGTCCTGAGCTTATTTTTTGCTGCCTTATCTTGCAGAGAGCAGAGAACGTTAATCCGGTTCAAGACCGCACTCATGAACACTCTGGTGGACGTCCTGCGCCACAGGCCTGGATGGGTAGAAGTGAAGGAGTAAGACACCCCTCTCCTCAGCCCTTCTTCCCTTTGTCTCCCACGTCCTGGTCTCCTGTTTTTTCCCCCAGCTACCGGGACTTGCCCTAAATCGGATGTGAGGGTTTTTCTTGTTGTTGCTGTTTGTGTTTGTTTGTTCATTTGGCACCACACTGTATTGCACGCACTGCTGACATCATCGATACTGCATTTACGCCCTACAAAGCGTGACGTGATAGCATGATGTGATGGCTTTCCAGGTGCTAGCCAACTGCTTGAGCCCCTAAGGCCTGTGTGCTGGGTATTGTCGACTGTCAACGTGACAGGATCATCTGTACTATAGGTTCTGCAGGGGCAAGGTACCAGCTGTGTTTGTGAGTTCCTAGATTAGGGTTTGTCAAGGCGGGAAGATCCATGGTAACAGTAGGCAGCATGTGGGCTGGGGTGGGGGGCGGGTCCCAGGTTGAATTTTAAGAGGAGAAGGACAGCACTCATCTCTTAACTGCTTCCTGACTGTGAAGGCAACTGACTGGCAGCCCAGGCTCCTGCCCTTCCTTCCCGAGAAGCTTCTTGCCCAGTATTCTGGACACAGCGAGGAGAAAATAGCAAGTGTCTCTGTGGGTGTCCAGCCCAGCGCTGGGTCATTTCTGCCCACCCCTTGTCACCTCAGCAGAAACAAGGAACGTGATGACTGACCTGTGGCTTGAGCGCTCCAGGGACCAGCCCCGCCAAACACTGCTCCTCCCCTGCCATAGGGCAGGCCTGCATTTCTTTTATGCTAGGCTCTGGGGACAGTGACAGAGACAACAGTATGTGGCACATGGCAGTAAGGCGCAGTTACTGAGGGCTGAGGCTCGGCTGTGTGTCACAAAACTCCCACAAGTGGCTTTGACGGGTGGGAGTTTCTGGATCTGGGAGTTCAGGGACGGCAGAGCCCCTCCCCCACCCCACCCCGAAAAGCAGAGCCCATCTTCCTCCTTTCCATCCTGCTTTCCCATGAGTTGAAGCCTCATCCTCACAGCTTGAGGGGAAACTTCAACCAGGTGAAGAGAACTCCAGCTGGGTGCGGTGGTGCACACCTTTGATTGCCATGCTTGATGTCAGAGGCAGACAAATCTCAGTGAGTTCAAGGCCAGCCCAGTATCACAGCAACAGAGTTCCGTGGTGAGATCCTGAGAGGAGCATGGATTTGAGGGGTAGAGGACCAATAGCCAGCTATGCCAAGGTGTCCAACAAGAAATTCATTTCATCCTGGTCGCTAAGCCTCTTAGGCACCCTGTAGCCCTTAACACAAACCGTCTCTTAGCCACACCTTGAATCTTCCACCTCAACTCTTCCAGGCAAGTGCTTTTAAAATCCTGATTTCACTAACAGGAAACCAGGGCACAGAGTAATGAAAATGCCATCTTGAGAGCACTTTGCCTAGAAAGCCCTGGGGCAGGGTGTGTGCCTAATGCCTGTCTGCAAAATCACAGCTCATCCCCTCCCAGTCCCAGCCGCCCTTCCACAGGCAGAGGAGGAAATGAGCAAGTGTGCCGAACCCAGAGCTCCAGCCCTGCAGGCTGACGGACTGTAGCCAAGCCAGCCCACATGGACTGCCCATGGCTGTAGGTGCTGATGAAGCTGGTGCTGGCAGCTGACCTGGGTTTGCCTTGGTTATCTCAGGACAGAAAGCCGGACAGACATCAGGATACCTTAAGGATGACAGAATGGGAAGGTGGAAGGATCCCTGACTTGGTTAGCCGTTTAATATCCTCCTCCATAATTAAAGGGTGGCCACACTGAGTGAACATGAACACGGTTTGCACGCGAATGAACTTGCAGTCCCAGGACAGAGTCCCCCCCGTGATGCTCTACGAGCCTTGGCTCTGTTGGGTCCTGGCCAGCTCTCCATCTTCAGCTCTGACACCTCTGCCTCCTCTGTGGCTTTTCCTTCACATCCTTGAACATGCCTTTCCAGCCCCAGGGCCCCTTCTGCTATAGCCCTCTCCCACAGCCCTTGACCTGGTCGCCTTCTTCACACTTCACATCTCAGCTCAAGGGTCACTTTCAGAGGGTCCTTCAGCTCCCCAACCTCATGACTGCTTTGCTCTGGAACATAGTTCACAGTGCCTCACTGTGCAGCAATTTGTATCTTGATTACTCAAGATACAGATCAATCAAGAGTGTTAATCAAGCTTACTGGAGTGGTGACAACATCTGGCCATGTGTTTTTTCATTGTCACTCCCCCCAAACTGCCTCTCACTGGCACCCCTGGAGACAGCCTCCACACATACAGATAAACACATGAACAGTGTGTCATTCGCTCATGCAGTCGACACACAGACCCCCGAGGGATGCCGGGAGCAAGGAAGCTTGCTCCTTGCCTGTTTGTATCCTCGTGTTTCAGAAACCCACTGCTATCTTGTAGACAGCACCTCAGGAAACAGTTCTAGAACATCTGACCCTCCCAGACCTCAGGGCAGCAATGGCAGTGCCAGCCCACGTTGAAAGGTCTACTGGCCACCTTTTGCCATCCACTCTTTTATTTCTCCCTTTCTTATTGGAAGGTAATTATCAGAAGATAAGCCTTTTTGAAAAAAGTACAATTCCAGCCGAGCTTCATGAGTTCAAGGCCAGCCTGGTCTACATAGTGAGACCCTGTCTCAAAGCAACAACAAAAACCAATTCCATGTCCTTCCCCCCCCCCCCATAGCCCAAGCTGTCTTCAGTGTCACTATGTAGACAAGGATGATCTTCAACTCCCCAATCCTCCTGTCTCCAACCTTCTGAGTGCTGGGGCTCTAGGCCTGCACCACCCTGCCTACTTCAAGTCCTGTGTTCTATGCTCATAACATTATGTAATCCTCACTGTCCCACTCCAGAACCTTCTCCTCTTTCCCCTCCCTCAGGTAGTCCTCCCCACTTTCCTCCCCTTTCCCTCCAGCCCCCACCCTTGACTTTAGTCTGTTCTCCTCAACCTCATAGAAAATGTGCTGGAAAATGTGCCTTTTGTCTCCTTCCCTCCCTCCCTCTCTTCCTGAGTGAGGGTCTTGCTAGTAGCCTTGTGTAAGCACAGCGTAGCTCGCTAGCCTGATATTCACTACGTAGCCCAAGCTAACCTCAAATTTGCGCTGGGATTTCTAGCTGTGAGCCACCTTGCCCAGTCTGTCTGGCATTTTACTTGTTTCAAAGGTGCAGCCATGTAGAGCATGTATTCATTTGTGTAAGTGCCTTGTCTCCCACCCTGGTGCTGGAGGTAGGACCAAGGACAGCTGCATTCTAGGCGACCCATCAGGCCGTTTGCACACACCCCTTTTGGGCTGAATAAAATTCCATTTTGTGGATGTGCTACATTCTCTGGGTCTACTCAGTAGCAGATGGGCATTTGGGCTGTTCCCACTCTAGGACTGTTATAGATAAAGCCTTTGCGCATCCGTACACAAGTTTTGAGTGGCTACGCTTTCCTTTCCTGGGAGAAGCACCTACAAGTGGAATTGTTGGGTCTTGTGGTTTAAATTCTTGAGGAAGTGTTACAGTCCTCTGAAGCGGCTTCTTCATCTTCTGTTTCTGGCAGCGGCACATATAATCCCATTCTCCACATCCTTGCCAATGCTCATTATTATTCATTTAAGAAAAAAAATTGTCATCCAAGTATACGTTTACTAGGATGTCATTGTGGCTTTTCTTGGTGATTAATTATAACATTTTCCTGTGCATGTGGGTCACGTGTGAATCTTTACAGAAACATCTATTCAGCTCCTTGGCCTGTTTAAAAACAAAAATGAAAAACAAACAGAACAGAGTTTGGAAGTGGAAATTTTTTTATTTACATTTATAAAATTAGCCTCCAAAATGGTAAGTTTGCACACCTATAATTGCCACACGCGTACATCACTGCCCCGTCTCATATCCCAGTTACTTCTCTTGTTTCTCCATCCTGCTGGCCTTCCTCCCCTAAGCGGGTCCCTCTCTGCCTTCTTGACCTGTGGAGATGATTGATTCCTGATGGTGCCGCTCCATCCCACAGACCATCCATGTCCTAGCCCATGTGACTTACCTGGAATTGTCCCAGAGACTCACTTGTTCTATTGAGACACCAGCCCCTTTTGTATCATGTGGCAGTGACTACCAGTTTGCCTCGGTATGTATTATTTTTCCACTTAACATTCAATTAAAAGCAGAAATGTGACTATTAAACTTTTAAAAAGCCATTTGGAGCTTAGTGGAAATCCAAGGCCCACACACTCAGAGACATTCCCACCCCATGTCCTCTGCAAGGGGCGGAAGAATTCCTCCCATCCCACTCCGAGCTCCTGCAGCCAAGCTCCTACGCATGGTTGGCATCCGGGGAAAGAGCCCACCCAGTGGCTGAGAGAAGCAAGAAACAATCCACACCCTTAGTTGCTGGAAATTTCTAACACCCAGTGAAACTTGCTGCCTTTGCTCTGCAGAAATTTCAGAGCTCAGCCACCAGGGCCATGTAGCCAGCAGGTGGCCACCTCATTAAAGTTTGCTTCAGCTTCAGACCCCTCAAGGTGTTTTCTGAAATTCAGTACTTGGCCACAACAGGAAAGAAAAGAGCTGGGGTGGAGTATATTTAGTTGGTTTTCCATTGTTTTTGGCAATATATCTTCTAAGATAATCAACTTAAAAACAGGCAGGAGTAGTAGCACACACCTTTAATCCCAACACTAGGGAGGTATAGGCAAATGGGCCTTTGTGAGTTCAAGGCCAGCCAGGGCTACATAGTGAGACCCTGTTTTAAAAAAAGGTAAAGTAACGTAATGGTTTATGTGATTCCATTGGTCTCTGCCCATCACCAGCCATCCCTTTCCTTTTAGGCCTACAGTAAGGCCAAACGGCATGGGGGGAACTCATGGTAGCCAGGAAGCAAAACCAGAAGCCTGAAGCCCAAGGGGAGCTAAGGGTCTGCCCAATATCCCCTTCTCAATAAACTAACATCCTTCTCGGCCCCATCTTTAAAGGCTCCACCATTTCCCAGTATTGCCACAGGCTGGTGATCAAGCTGTCAACACCCCAATCAAAAGCCAAATAAAAGTAGCAAGGCAGAGGCAGAGAGGGTGGATCCCCCCCCCTCCTCCTCCTCCTCCACCACCCCCTCCTCCTTTTTCTTCTCCAGCCTGTGTTGGTAGGGAGCACCCTGCACCTTAGGCATTGGTTGGGACTGGAGCAGGTGTGCTATTCTGTTGAAAGTGTGGGAAGGCACCCTGAGCTCAGAGAGGCCGTATCCACTAGCAGCTCAGGGAAGCCAGCCACTGTGTGACCTCTGGTTTGAACCTTGTCTCCCTCACCCAGTGAAGGCGAGTGGGATTTCTATTGGTGTGATGTCAGTTGGCTTCGGGAGAACTTTGACCACACCTACATGGATGAGCACGTGCGGATCAGCCACTTCCGGAACCACTACGAGGTGAGCCTCGGCTTCCAGGTCTGTGAAATGAGAATGGTTCTAGGCCAGCAGGCTGTCTGCTGCTCCTTTCAACTGCCCCTGCTACTCTGAGGGTCTGAGAGTGGAGACTGTGCTCAGGAGGCAGGCAGGAGGGCCAGCAAGATGGCACAGCAGGTAAAGGCTTTTGTGCCCAAGCCTGAGGACCTGGGTTCAATCCCTAAGACCCATAGAGTAGAAGGAGAGACTGACTCCCAAAAGTTGCCCTCTGACTTTTGATACTAGTGGGCTCTATCAATTAAATAATCACAATGCTGGAAAAGGGCTCAGAGCAAAAGCAAAGCTTATCAGCAAGTGTTAGAGCTCTCTAGATGGAGAGGGGCCCAGAGTGGGTACTTCGATCTCTAAGGGGGTCTGAGGCCTTTTCTAGGGTTCAGGTAGTCCCATCTCTCTACTCTTCCATTGGTCTTTTGTTTGTTTTGTGTTTTTGAGACAGGATCTCTCTGTGTAGCCCTGGCTTTCCTGGAATTCACTATGTAGACCAGGATGGCTTTGAACTCACAGAGGCCCACCTGACTCTGGGATTAGAGGTATGGGCCACTATGCCTGTGCCTTCTATTGGTCTCCAGGTGTCCACGTGTCCCTTCTGTTTAGGGACTGGGTTATTGTTAGGTCCATAAACACAGAAATGGTTGTAATAGGCCCCCAGCCTTGGCGCATCCACTCATAAGTCCTTGCCTTGGTGCCTGGACACAGAAGTAACTGCTGGTTGACTAGGGTCAGAGTGAGCCCCCAACACTCTTTTCCCTCTGAGGTATAAGGGGAAAAAGCTCACTCCAGGAAGTGACCTAACTTGGGGGAAATGGAAATGTACTGCTTCTCAGACAGAGCAAAAGCTCGTGAGGGGTCATCATGTCTCCTTTCTCTCATTTTAGCCCCTCCACCGACACATATAAATAAATGTAATGAAATATTGGTTCTAAAGAGAGGTGGGTAAGGCAGGGTGCAGGAGGCTCACTGTCTGTCCTGTTTGTTCCCTGCTGCCTAGCTCACCAGGAAAAACTACATGGTAAAGAACCTGAAGCGGTTCCGGAAGCAGCTGGAGCGCGAGGCAGGAAAGGTGGAGGCCGCTAAGTGTGACTTCTTCCCCAAAACCTTCGAGATGCCCTGCGAGTACCATCTGTTTGTGGAGGAGTTCCGCAAGAACCCCGGAATCACTTGGATCATGAAGCCTGTGAGTGCCTCTGTAGGGAGAGTCAGGATTGCAGTCTGGGACCCAGAAAGGGCCAACATCAAACTGAACCCTCTTGTCCCTTTGAAGGTTCATGAAAAGAAGCAAATCTGTGTCAGAACTATGTCATGCATGCACTGCTTGAGCTCCTGGGTGGGGAGCCTAGTGTGGGACACTCCTCCCCCCACACACCCTGAGGCTTCTGCTCCCATAGAGAACCTTGGGACACTTTCACAGGCCCCTTAGGCCTCCGGAACTGGACACCTGGGGAGTCCCATACCCGGTTCACCCGCAGAGTCCCAAGCTGCACTGGATTTAGGAACCACTGCTTTCTAACCTTTTATTCTTTAAGACACATTTTAGATTCATTTTTATTCTGTGTGTATGCATGTTTTCCTGCATGTTTGTGCACCACTTGTGTGCATTGCCCACAGAGGCCGGAAGAGGGCATCGGGCCCTCTGGAACAGAGGTAAGAGACAGTTGTAAGCTGCCGTGTAGGCCCTGGGAATTGAACCTGGGTCATCTGGAAGAGAAATCAGTCATCTCTCCAGCTCCTACCTTCCAATGTTGTCACTCAGTGTTACCTAAGACCAGTAGCAGGAGCAAGGGTGTTCCCCACAAGAATCAGGCCAAACCACTCAGGTCCTCCATGATCTGCCTGTGACCACCTTTGAACCCACTCAAGGCATGGCATGTGCACACTCTGGTTTGCTTATTTTGCTTTGTCTTTTTTTCGGTTATTGAGACAGAGTCTCTCTATGTAGTCCTGTCTTGTCTTGTGGCTCTCTATATGACTGTCTTGGAACTCAATTTGGAGACCAGGCTGGCCTCAGACATGCAGGGATCCACCTGCTTCTGTCTCCTGAGTGCTGGAATTACAGGTGTGCAGCTTTACACCCAGCCACACAGGTTTGTGAAACTGACCAGAGCTTCCTGGACTCTTGGAAATGCTGAGAAACGGCCTACTGCTGAGCATCCGAGTCCGAGCCTCTGTGTGTGCTCTGTATGGGACAGACCTGGGTCAGTACCGTCCCTGCCTACAGATGGACCAGAGGGTGGCCCAGGGGGCCTTGTCGAAGGGTCACAGGACTCACAGGTGGCAGACACAGAATTAGAATTCAGGCACTGAAAAGGCTGAGGCAGGAGGAGTGTTCCAAGTTTAAGGCCAGCCTAAGCTACACAGTGAGTTACAGGACATAAAGTGAGACCCTGTCTCAAAACAAACAAACAAACAAACCAAAACAAAAAAACCCCACAGGCCCAGCTGAGTAGAAGAAGCACCTGCTTTCATTCCCCAGACAGCACGCCTCAGCTGTGGGACACACACACACACACACACACACACACACACACACACACACACACACACACGGAGACAGGGAGAAAGGGAGGGAGAGAGTGGGAGAGAGTTGGCTCTACCCGCAGAGCCAACGTTCCACTTCTTAACCACAACTGTCAGGTATTTGTTGCTAACAAAAGCAGTGGGCGGGGAAAGGAAGCGACTTAATATGCAATTGCTGGTTCCCAATTAGCAGAAAGTACCACTTGATGCAGCTGGGGATGCCTGGAGCTCCATGCTCATCCTCTTCTCTCTGCTGCCACCAGATCACCTCACCAGTCTACTCAGGACTCTGGGAAAGAATCAGGAGCCTGGGGGCCACCTCCTGGCAGAGGCAGGGGTCGTGGACTGGTGTGTTTTCCTCTGTAATGCTCTGACCAAGTCCATCCCCCTCCTGGCACCCGTGCTAAGTGGCTACCTCTTCATCAGGCAATCCCAAGCCTCATTCTTCAGTTCCCTGTGGAAGGCTGTGCCCTGCTACTCTACCCTCATGCTCTTGCTAGACATCCTCTTAGGCATGGAAAATATAAGGGGTTTTGGTGACGCCACACCCCCACGCCAGTGCCACTCTGTAGACTCTTTGGGCCCTGGGACCATCAGTCTCTCAGCTTCACTCTTAGGGATAAGAACAGGCCTTTGGCCGCTAGGCACAGTGGTACAGTGGTTTGTAATCCCATCACTTGGGAGGTAGAGGGAGGAGGATCAGGAATTCAAAGTCATCCTTGGCTACAAAGCAGGGGCTTGAGTTTAGCCTTAACACCCATGTGAAAACCAGATGTGGTGGCCTGTGCCGGCAACACTGAGGAATTAGGGGTTGGAGGATCCCTAGGGCTCACTGGCCACTCCAGTCAGGCTGATGCACGGAGCCTAGGTCCCAGTGAAAGCTCCTGTCTCAAAAAGTAGATATATTGGTTATAACGGTCTCTGCCTTTAATCCCAGCACTTGGGAGGCAGAGGCAGGTGGATTGCTATGACTTTGAAGCCAGCCTGGTCTGAATAGTTGTAGGCCAGTCAGGGCTACACAGAGAGACCCCCTCTCAAAATGAATAAATAAGGTGAACAGTTATTGAGGAGTGACTTCTGAGCTTGACCTCTGGCTTCCACACGCATGTACACATGACAGGTACACAAACCACACGCCTGTGTGTGCCCCAACACATATGAATGTGCACACACAAATCAAATGTTTAAAAGGATCAAGTAAACAAACAAATAGGCCTTTGGATTTGGCCACAGGAAGTCAAGTTTAAGAGCTGATGACATAGCTCAGTGATAAAGCATTTGCCTAGCCTACCCGAGCCCCAATTCAACCCTCAGCCCCGCCAAAACTAGAACAAAACCTAACAGAATTTAAGTCCAGTCTAGGGTAAAGAAATCATACACGTGAGAATTTTAGATCCTTTAAAAATACAGAAATATTATAAGACCGTGTTTTCATTTTAATCCCAGGTGTGGGGATGTGGGGCCACTTCAGACTGTCCACAGCAGCTGACTATGATTTGCCCCGTGCCCTAGCAGAAGTGGTTTTGCCAGCTGCAGATAATTTCTGCGGTTGTGTGACATTTGGAATTCTGGGAACTTTTCAGAGGGTATATAAATTGGAGGACCCCAAGAGGCAGGCTGGTGGTTGTTGGTCATTTAGGGAGGTTGGCTGAGGTTTGCTAGTAGCTGTGGTCAAAAAAGAAACAGAAGGAAAGAAATCAGATTTAGGGATTTTCCTAAGTTCTCTCTCCCCTCTATTCTTGTTTCTCTCCTGTCTAGTATTAAGGGGTGAAACCAGGGAGGGGGGATAAAGGGTGGGAAAAAGAAGAACACACAAAGTAGCAAAGAGCAGCTCCACACACAGCTCCACTGCAGAGATAGAGGGGCTGGGAAGGGCAGGGCCCAGGCCCCAGGCCCCAGGGCCACTGCAGCTTCTCTCTCAGGGTGCAAGGCATCAGGTGTGTAGGTCAGGACTGTGCCTTTCCATCAGTCTATATGTCCGCAAAGCTGCTCTAAGCCCCAGGTTGGGATTTCTTGAATAACCTTAGCTGCGGCCCATTCACTCTGCTGTGTCTACATGGAGGTGCTGAGGCTGTCACTGAATCCTCCGAGAGCCGGCCTGCAAGTCCAGTAAAGAGCAGAAAAACTGTCCCCCAGGGGCTTAAGTGCACAGGGCCCCTGACCTGTCTATCCATGCACACGTGGGGAGATGCACCAAACAACTGAGTCACAGAATAGAGCTTTGTTTAAAGCCACTGGTTGGAGACACAGTTGGCAGATAAAATCTGAAAGATGTCATGAGGCCGGAGAGAAGCAAGTATCGATGACAGAACCGTGGCTTTTAGCCAGGGGTGATGGTACATGTCTGTAATCCCAGCACTCAAGAAGCAGAGGGGGATTGTTGCATGTTGGAGGCCAGCCTGGTATATCGGGGAGTTCCAGACTAGCCTGGGCTACATAGCAAGATTGTCTCAAAACAAAAACACAATAAAGAATGTTTTGGTTTTTTTAAGCATAAAGAACATTTAATTACAAAAGAAAGCAGCCATTTGAAAAACAGTCATTAAAAGGATGTTAGTCTGAGCCCTCCAGGAAACAGATGTCAAAGAAGACTAGATTTGCCAGAGTTGTGCCTGCTGGAGAAAATGAGCAGGGCCAAACAGGTGGAGCTAAAGGAGCTGGAGGAAAGGAGAAAGGGAGGTGGGGAGGGAGGGAGAGAGTGCAGGGAAGAAGTTCCTACTGCTGCTGAAGGTGCAGCTGGCCCAGGGCCCAGAGTGGCGGGGGGGGGGGGGGGGGGGGGGGGGGGGGGGGGGCGGAGCTGTGGCACCCAGCAGGTTACTCTGGAGACCCCTGCCCTGGCTCTCCCTGTACTAGTAAGCATCCTCTCTCCTCACTACATATTAAAGGACCTAACAGCTGGTTCCATCCCTCTAGTAATTTGAGTCATAAGAGACACAAATAATCTTTTGACATCTGTGCAACTGTCACATGATATAAAGAGGCTGTGAACCCTTCTGACAGTTATGTCACTCGTGTGACTAATATTCCCAAGATGGGTCGCCAGCACGCATCATGGAAGGAAATGCAAAAATCTGCTTAGATAGTAATAAAACTAAACATGAAAAAAAAAAATCTCTTCTCATTGAAGCTTCTAAACCCCGAATGACTCCCTTTACTAAGAAGAATCAAGCCAAGTATAGTTTAATGGGTAGTGCAACAGTACCATTAATTTGCACCCAGCAGGCAGGCTGCTCCTCCCGGGCACGGGGCACAGCGTGGCGCCTGCAGCTCTAACTTCACCTCATCACTATGCCATTGTGTGCTAGAGGTACCTAACTTGTGTTTTCACTAGTCAGGGGCTCATAAATTGTCTTAAGTCTCAGAAGAGACATTGGACTTGGACTTTTTTTTTTGTTTTGGTTTTGTTTCTTTTTGACAGGGTCTCACGACATGAGCCAGGCTGGACATAAGCTCATGAAGACCTACCTGCCTCTGCCTCTTGAGGGCTGGTATTAAAGCAACTCTGAGTGGCTCTGAACTTAGGATGGTTTGTTGTTTTTGTTTGTTTATTTTTGTTTTGTTTTTGTTTTTTGTTTGTTTGAGTCAGGGGGAGTTTTTCTGTAGCTCTGGCTGTCCTGGAACTCACTGTGTATATCCATGCCCAGGGACTCACAGAAAGCTGCCTTCGTCTGCCTCCTGTGGGCTGGAGTTTAAAACAGAGAGCCACCATGCCTAGATTTAGGACTTTTGAACGGTATTGAAATTGTTGAGAGAGTGGGGATGAGGGCTTTTGAAGTCAAGATGAGCGCACTTGGCATTGGGATGGCCATGATCCTACGGGGCCAGGGCCAGAGTACTGTGGCTTAAAGTGATGTGTTTGTGTGTCAAGTTGGCAAATCCTAGACACATTGTGATACCATATTGTTAGCTTGATTGGATTAATAAACACCTACAAAATTGATGCGGTGCATCCTTAGGGATGTCTCAGAGAGGGTTTCCAGAGAGGTTTGATTGACTAGAGAACCACCATGGACATGGATGGCAGTATCCCACAGGTTGGTGTCCCAGACTGAATAAAGGGGAGAAAGGAAGGATTTGCTTTCTCTGCTTCCTGCTCTGCCCAGATGTGAGCAAGCCAACAGCTGTCAGGCCTTCTGAAGCCTGCGGTGGGCCTGGTGGGCCTCTGAGCAGAGAACAGAAGGGAAAGAGGCCCTGCACTCACTGGGTCAGCACCAGGGAAAAGATGCCTCAGGGGGTCCTGCTCAGGAGCTCAACTAAACTAAAGGGCTGAGCTGGCACCAGAAGCTAGAGTTGGTCTCAGAGGCCAGGCCAGCTGGTGGCTCTTAGCTCTCTACAGGTTCTGCTGGGCAGCATCAGACTTCTAAGTGACAGATACAGCATAATCCCCGGGAATGGCCCAGCCACAGAGTGCTTGCTTAGCAAAAGCAAGGTCCTGGGTTTGATCCTCAGCAACACACGCTCACACATACGCCAACATACCTTTCAATGATTGCTTAGCAAAGCTACCCTGCAGTAGCAATGGGCTGTGGGGTGTGGAGAGGGAAAGCATTCGGACAGCGTTCCTGTGCAGGCCAGGAAGATGGACCTCGCAGAAGGCTGGAACACCGCAAGACATCTGTAGGCATACTTCTTTAGCTATGCTTTTCTGGTTCTTATATCTCCCTCTCTTCCAACCCTTATTCCATCCTCATCCTTTCCGACCCCCCAACACTAGGTAGGAGAGAAAGGAGGCTAGAGGGGTAAGGGACGTAAACCTCTTTAGACTACTTCCTGCTGATTTAAGGGTGTTGGGGTCCCTGGAGGCAAGTTCAATCTTTGTTGTCAGGATATCTCTCCAACCTCTTGTCTCTTTGCTCTTGACCACTTGACAAACTGGACAACAGCAACCAGGAGAAGCAACCTTCACAGGCCCTCTCAGGGTTCTACTAAGAGTTCCCAGAATCAAACCATCTGCAGCTGGCAAAAATCATGCCCTGCTAGAACAAGAGGCACTACTGTTAGCTGCTGTGGACAATCTGAAGCAGCCCCATATCCCACACCTAGAATTAAAACAAAACAAAAAACGTATTCATAAAACGTAACTGGGTTTTTAAAGAAACCAAAATTCTCACTCCAGATATCAAAGATTCCCCTAGCCCCCTTGCCTCCGGGAGACCATGAATTACCCATAGCAGTGTGCAAAGGCAGACAGAATCCAATATTAGTGAAGCAAAACCTAATTAGGAAGGCAAATTGATTTCCAAAAAAAGCATTGGATGGTATGTTCCAGGACTGGCCGAGATGGTTTTTTAATTGTCTGTCCCTCTACATTATTCATGCAAATGTATGTCTTTGTAGCAAAGCCTAGCTCACTTTCCTCTTTCAGTCCCATGAGGGTTGAACAGCCATTCCTCTGGGCCCAGAGCATGGGGGCACATGGGGAGATGGATACAGAGATGAACTGAGGAAGGCCCTGAGGAGGAGGGCCAGAGAGACCCTGAGCTGAACTCTGCTTTTCTCCATCTTTCCACCCCCCACCAGGTTGCCCGATCTCAGGGGAAGGGCATCTTTCTCTTCCGGAGACTGAAAGATATCATGGACTGGAGGAAGGTGAGGCCGCCTCTTCTTCTCCTCCCAAGCCTCACCCTCCAGGAGCAGGCCACGGCTATCTTTCCCCAGAACCCACAGGGTTTCCTGCCAAGGTTGCCCACAATAGCCACAGCTCTGGGTTCAAACCCTGACTGTGCTACATACACCCTTCTTAGCATCTGCTGAGGAGCCAGCGTGCTGATGAGCAGGATCGCAGTTAGCAGCAGCCGTGGTCTTAGAAACGTGACCAGGGCCTCTGAACCCTGGGAGTGACAGCGGTACTGGGTTTAATAAATGCCTCTCTCCTTCTGCACATTCCAACGGACCTGGTCCCGCTGTCAGCGCACTGCCACTGCCTTGAAGAAACCCACCAGTGTGGAGGCGCAGCCTTCCCGTTCCAGTGTGAACCCCTCAGGTAGCCATGTGAGTAGAAGTGGTGAGGAGGGCCCTGGGAGGAGAGGCCTGGCTGCCCAGGTGGGTGCCACAGCTGGGAGGGGGGTCTTCCCTGACAGCCAGGAGCCCTTAGTCCAAGCACTCACCACTCGTGAGCCCAGGGAGTGTGTGACTTTGAGGCTTGGTCTCGGTTCTTCACAGAAGTCACAGGACGACTGTGCCTGTTAATTTGCTGTCCCCTGAGCTGGATGGTGAGAAGGGGACCTGCTCTGATGTCCTCTAGGCAGCCCTGGCATGGGTGACCTCTCTCTTCCCAGGCTTAGCACCTTTCACACCTCCCTCCTCCCCTCCCCTTGTCCTGGAACAGAACCCAGAAGCTTGCACAGCCTAGTCTAGTGAGCTGCCGCTAAGCTCACCAAAAGGCTAAACTTTTGAACTTTTATCTCCTCTGAGAATTGAAGGGGCAAGAGGGTTCAGTGGTGAGCTGGCTGCCAGTCAGGTGCATTGCCCTTTATCTCCAGCAGTGCCCCCTTCCCTGACAGATCACAAAATTTAGCATTTTCACAGCTACATGCGTGAGGGAGGTGGGGCGGATGCTGAGCGGCTTCCTCAGCTACTCAGCCCCTCAGAGACAGGGCCTCTCACTGAACCCGGAGCTCAGCTGTTCAGCCAGTGAGCCCTAGGGAGCCTCTTATCCCTGCCTCCCAGTGCTGGGGGACAGGCCAGTTTTCACGTGGGTGCTAGGTGTCTAAACTCAGGGCCTCATGCTTGTGTGTCCAGCAGTTTTCAGATTGAACCCAACTTTGCCCGTTTTTTTCAGTGTTCGGTTCTAAAGCTCTGGGAACCGTCATTTTGTGCACTTGTCATGAACCCCCACGGCCAGAGTGCTTGCACCACCTCAAATCCAAAGTCTGCCCATTCCGTGCTGACCTCCACAATCCTCCTGCTTTCCGTTGCTAGGCATCTGACCATGCTGGTGACTCCGGGAAAGCAGATCCTGTTGTTGTTGGCTTACTTCATGCAGCCACTGGCTTCAGGTTTTGTTCATGTCACAGCATGTAACTCATTTGCCTTTTGTCAATATGAATGAAAATGTCAGTACCCTCATGTGGCCAGCGTCTGGGGCAGGACAGGTCTAAAGGATGCCTCGAGCTCTGGGCTCATCTACCTAGGCTCCACCCCCCTGCTGGACCTCTGGCCGGTTGTGTGACTTCAGACAAGTCACCCCATCTCTCCGTGCCTCAGGTGTGCATCTGTAAAATGGGGATTGCATTAGTTCTTACCCGAGAGGGTCTGAGTGAGGATCCGATCAGATGTCCCAGGGATAGTGCCCGACATGGCACCCAGCACACAGGGCACTCTGTGGGGGTTACTGATTGCTCTAATCACCACCAGGATGCAAGGAGTTCCGATGACCAGAAAGAGGAGGTACCAGTGGAGAACTACGTGGCTCAGCGTTACGTGGAAAACCCTTACTTAATAGGAGGTGAGGTGGCCATGTCCGTCCTGTCAACAGGCCTGAGAGGGTGCACAGACAGAGGCCTGTCCTGAACTCTCCTAACTGTGGCCTGTGCAATCCCCCTAGCCTAGCATGCTCTTCCCACTCCCACTGGGCTCAGGAAAATCCTCTTGGAAAGCCAGTTCACTCACTCACGCTTTCATCATTTACAAAGAGCCTCCTTGGTGCCTGCCTCTGTCCTGGCTCCACTCTAAGAGTTCGGCAGCTACCAAGGAGTCTCAGTGCAGCCCAGCTAATGTCACTTGTCTCTCCCCAGCCCCCTCCCTTCCCCTGGCAATGATCTTTGAGTGGGGCCAGCCTCTGGCTCTCTTCTCCTTTTCCTTCCCTGAGGGACTCCAGCTCTCTGTCCCCAGCCAAGGAGGCCTTGCCCTTGAACCCCAAATCTCTTGGTTCTCTCCCAGCAACTCATTACCAATGTGCCTCAGACTCAGAACTGCTCCCCAGTCTGGCTCATCTCCATCTTCTCCATCTGAGCCACGGCTACTCCTCCCCCAAGCTGCTAAGCCAGAGTCTGGGAAGTGCCCGGGGCCTCTGGTCCTTCCCTGCCACTGTTCTTTTGGGTTTTGTTTTAATTTGTGTTCACTATTTTAATTGTGTGTAGGTGAGCATGTGTCTGCGGGTGGGTACGTGTGGGTGAGCGCAGGCACCTGCAGAGGCAGCAGGCACCTGATCTCCTGGAGGGAGCTCTGGTTAAAGGAGGTATTTGCTGATGTCTGTGCTGTGCACTGAACTCAGGTCCCACGGGGAGCAGTACACACCCTTAGCCACAGAGCCGCTTCTCCTGTTCTTCACCAGGCTCCCCACAGGTCTGAAGCTGCCTGTGTGGCCACCTCTCTTTTCTGTTTCCGGTCCTAGCTGCCGTTGTCTTTCCTGGATGGCCTCCGTGCTGCTCCACTGCCCTGGTCCCTTAGACTCCACACCAACACAGCAGCTAGGGGCACCGCTGCCCTCCTCTGCACATGGCTCGGCCCCTGCCTCCTCTGCCACCTGCTTCACTTGCCTTTCTTTCCCCTCCCCTGGGCCCAGAGTTTTTGCCCATCTGGGTCTAGATCCAGCCATAAGGCCTATCCAACCTGGGCTGAGCCTGTACCTGTCCATGTGTTCGTCTTCACTTCACACAGGGCCTTCCTTGGCCACTAAGCCTCCAGCTTTGCCCTAATACTGCCCTACCCAATCCTCTCCCTGTGCCCTGTGCAGCTGTGCTTGGAACCTCAAATAGGCAGATCCCTGTCTGTCTGTCCATGTCCTGAAACCTAGCCCATTGCCTGCCAGTCAGGCAGCATGCATTCCACAAATCAGTTCTTTTCCACAGGCCGAAAGTTTGACCTTCGAGTCTATGTGCTGGTGATGTCGGTGAGTCTCAGGCTGGGCCTCCTGTGAGCGCAGGGAGATGGAGGGATAAGGTGGAGGGGGGTGTCCCCAATGTTACATCCAGGCTGCCCAGGTCTAGATCTGTCCTCCTCCCGTCTCTCTCACGCAGTTCTGCAGGTGAGAACCAGGCCCTAGAGCACAGTTGCCTCTCATTCCAACTCAGCCAGGTCCTTGGTTTTCAGCCTCATTTTACGGAGTAGAATGGATGCATAAAGGTTAACCAGGAGTGCTCAGGAGGTGGAAGAAGGAGGAGCTCAAGTTTAAGGCCAGCCTGTTCTCTCCATAGTGAGTTCTAGGCCAGTTATATAGCCAGACCTGTCTCAAAAAAGTAGACGCAAAAGACAGATGCAAATAGGATGAATGACTTGCCCAAGGTCATACAGCAGGTAATTAGCCAAACTGGGATTCAAATCCAGACAGCTGAACTCCAGAGCCTGCTGCATCCCCTTCACCCAGTTAGGACTCACTCACTCATTTGTTCATTCATTCATTCATTCATCCATCCAGTACTCGTTTAAACCTTCACGGTGTATACTCCACTGGGAAAAGTCTCAGGCTTAGCCCATCCTTCAGGACCTTGAGGTTATACATGGTAGTATTTCGTTCCTTTTGCACCCCTGGGAAAGAAAGGGGTGGAGTCACAGGGTGGGAGCAGAAGGAGTGATTGAAGGCCACTATAGAGGGAAGACAGGCCCTTGCAGGTTTAAAAAAAAAAAGCCGCATGGAAACACTCTGACCATCTGACCATCGTTTCCCTTTTCTCTTTCCCTCATCCCTAACAGTACATCCCTCTGCGGGCTTGGCTGTACCGCGATGGCTTCGCTCGGTTCTCCAACACTCGATTCACTTTGAATAGCATTGACGACCACTGTATCCTCTCAGTGACACTCCTTCTAGTCCTCCGTCCCCTCCCTTAGTATGACACTCCTTCTGGTCCTCACCCCCCATCCCCTCCCTTAGTGCTCCCCGTCTGGAATGTATCCACCCCAAGGATACTTGCCAGGTTCCCTACATTAGACCAGCACTCAAGAGAGGGATCTGCTCAGGCCAGTGCTCTCCGAGGTCCCTGCTGGATGGTGGCCTTCATGGGTGTTCCGCACTGGGGTGTACCCACACTCTGGTGTAGCCACACTCATAGGGGCAGACAGGTTGAGCTTTACAGAACCTTCTTCATGGTCTTCACAGTGCTCACTCATTCAAACACAGTTCCTTCTTCATCATCCAATTGGCAGAGACCAAAGTTCAGGCACCATGCTGTCCCAGTAAAGCCGAGGGAGAAGGAGGATGTTCAGGTGGGACTGGTGGGAGTGTAAGGAGGTGTAACCCTCAGAAGGGGCTGATAAGTATCTGCCAGAAGCCGGGTGCACCTACGCTCTAAGCCAGCAAGCCCCATCAGTGTGTGCCACGGGGCCGCCCACACCATGGGAAGGGATAGGACTGAGGGCTGCGCATGCCGCATCCTTGCTGGAGGGCGAAACCTAAGAGTCAAGACAGGAGGTGCCTTTGTATAGCGGAATACTATGTTAAGTAGACTGTTAAGCGGAATGCCGGAGCGAGCCTTAGAGACTGATGGAAAGCAGCCTCCAAGGGGAAGAAAAACTATATTGGAAAACGGTACACTCCTACCCAGGCCAAACTATGTCTATGTTTTTCTCACTGTGCATAGATATCTCTGAATGACAGACAAGAAACTGGAACCAGGGCTGGGAGCATGGCCCTTGCCTTATATGCAAGGCCAGAGATTTGATCTCAGCACTGCCAAGAAAAGAAAGGAAGGAAAGAAGAAAGGAAGGAATGGAGGGAGGGAAGAAAAACTAGACACAGAAGCTGTCTTGTGGAGGAAAAATGAGTGGAAAGGAGATTATCTTCCTACATACTCACACGTGTGTACATATATGTATATATACATACATTTATGTAATTTTTACTTTCGAGCCAGGTGAATATATTGATGGGTATGATGACACATTGCACACACCTGTAGTCTCAGCATGTGGGGGCGGGTTGAGACAGGAGGAGCATGAGTTTGAGGCCACTCGGAGTCATAGAGTGAGACCCTGTGCTTAAAAAACAAAAACAAGAACAAACAAAAACGAAATCAGGACTGAGCTGTTGCTCAGCTAGCAGAGTGCCTTCCCAGCATGCCCTGGGCTCCATCCTCAGCACCCAATGAAGGTGGAGTTGACACAAGCCTGTGATTCCAGCACTTGAAAGGGAGGCTTTCAAGGGAGTCCAAAGCTCTGGGTAGGAGAGGGCCTCACTGTCCTGACCGCACACAGGGCCAGCACCCTGGGCCAAGATCCCAGCGCGCGCTTTGAGCCATCTTCTCCTCTCTGCCCTGAGTTCATCTTTCAGTTTATGTGTGTATGTGTGAAGTCACAGGGCTTGCATTGCCCACCTCTGAGACTGGCTGCGGGCCCTCCCACATGCACGTTAAAAGTTATTTTCCTTGTTTTGCCTATTCCATTTCTGGTATGCTAACTATATCCTGTAATTCTAACAAGCATTCGCCACATGCATGCCATCATCTTAGTTTGTTGGTATGGCTGCCTCGTTTTTATTAAAATCAAGTAACATGCGAAACACAGAAGAGCAGATTCTGTGGAGGGACCCTTCAGTGAAAGGCCTGTTGGTGCAGTCCTGTGAGTCCTGAGGACATGCTGAGCAAGCAGAGCCCTTCTCCATTTACCAAGGCTCCACTCACTAAATATCCACACTGCGAGACTGCACAGCACTTTCCGCCCTTCTTTTAAATGGGTTTCAATGTCTTAAAATTAAAATATGCAGAAAACTGCAGAAAAGACTAGGAAGGAGTCCTGTGTGTCAGGCTCTCTCACTGGCCCAGCGCTCCCTGTTCTGCTGGGCTGGCTGGCCAGCCCTAGGGACGCCCTCTGTCCTCAGGGCTGGGACCACAAGCACATGCCACCATGTCCAGAGCTGCCTGCCGGTTGGTTCTTGAGACAGGGTCTCACCATGTATCCCTGGCTGGCCTGATACTCAGACTGGCCCCGAACTCATGGAGATTCGCCTGCCTGTGCCTCTGAGTGCTGGGATTAAACATATGTGCCACCATGCCTGGCCATTCCCAGAATTTTTTTTTTCCTGTGGCTTCTGGGGATCAAACTTAGGGAGGCAAGCACTTTATGACAGAGCTATCTCCCCAACCCTAAACATGCCCACCTTTGAAAAGATATTTTGTACATATATATAATTTACATGCAATAACTCAAGTGTACACACACAGAGAGACAAATACAGCACAGCTCAGCCCTGAGTGCTGGGGAGAGGGTCATAAGGCATGGACCTGCATGGCGCTGACCATCTGCTGAGCACACGGAGGCACTGAGGTGTCAGAATTCCCTGACAAGGTCCCATCTAAATGAGATCAGTGCCATGTGCAAGGCTGCTGTGTCAACAATCCCGTTACCACTTTCTGTCCCCAAGGAGATAATAAAATTTACATTTATTGTTAGATATATTAAAACATACCATTCCCCCTAGGATTTATCCTTTTACTTTTGAGATTATAATAAAATTATGACATCACCCTTTTCCCTCTCCTCCCTCCAAGCCCTCCCAAATACCCCTCCTGGCTCTTCTTCAAATTCATGGCTTATTTTTTCATTAATTGCTGTCAACAATTTCCCCTCTTTCAAAGTTCATTTTGTTTAGGAAGCAGTATGAAAGGCCACTCATTAGGAATTAATTTATGAGCTCTGAAAAATATGGAGGATCAGAATTGGAAGAAGAAGACACTTTCTTTTTTCTTTTTTTAAGATTTATTTATTCTGTATACAGTGTTCTGCCTGCATGTATGTCAGCACGCCAGAAGAGGGCACCAAGTCTCATTATAGATGGTTGTGAGCCACCATGTGGTTGCTGGGAACTGAACTCAGGACCTCTGGAAGAACAGCCAGTGCTTTTAACAGCTAATCCATCTCTCCAGTCCCAGAAAACAGTTTCAGTTGTATGTGCTTCCCTACCTTATGGATCATCACAAATAATACACCAACAAAAATAACAAAATGGGCTGAGGCAATGAGTGGCTCAACAGGTAAATGTGTGGAACACACATACCATACTCACACACACACTACACACATAACACACTCATATACACACATCACACATACCACACTCTGACACACCACATCCTCACACAGCACACAAACATGCACACGCCACTCACACTAGTAATAATATTTTATAAAATTGCTTCAGCACAAAAGATTCTGATTTTGATAAAATCCGATTTATCTGTTTCCTTTGTTGTATGTGCTTTGGCCCCGTAGCTCAGGGGCTCTGCCTAACTGAGGTGGCAGTTACCTGTCCCTGCCTTTTATGTAAAAACGTTGTGGTGCATTTGAAGTTGATTTGGCTGCAGTGTGAGGGAGGGGCTGATTTGTGTGTCTCACTAGTTCGATTAGCTTCGCACCCTGCTCCCCTGACGTCCCTGCCCTGCTTGTGGGAAGGTGCCCCTTCACTGTGAATCACCTTGGGACATCATTAAGCGGAAATAGGAGGCCCCTTCCTGCTCAGGGATAGAGAGAGATGCAAAAGAAAAAAACCAGGCCTTTGAAGAGTTCTAAAGATGACATCTAGGAAATTCATACTATCAAGGTCTCTCGTCTTCCGGGAGGCGGGAGCCGCCCCGCCCTGCCCCACATGCCAGGGACAGGCAGAAATGTGCTTTGGGGGAATTAGACTCGGGCAAGGGACCAGGAGCATCCCCCCCCCGAACCCCAGCCCACAAATGCCCTAAGTCCTGGGGCATTGTGGTAGCTCATGAGATTGGGGGGGGGCACGCTGCGTGGTCCTTGGGGGGAGGATGCTGAGGAAGGGGTTTTGAGTGACTTTCCCTGTTCTCCCCTGAGCCTCTAAAGTTTTGCCCTTGACATGGGAACTATTCAGGAGCAAATGAGATGGTACCGGGAAGTATGTTGTGGGTCACAGTGCCGCTGGAGGTCGCAGTGGTGGTGATACAAAAGGCAGGTTCTCAGGCAGTTGCCTTGTGATCGGGAAATCGCAGACCGGTCCTCTCAGCTCTGCCAAGCACTGAAGAGGCTCTGCATCTAACCCCGCAAATAACCCTTGGAAGCTATGGTGTGCGAGTGTGCGCTCCCAGCCCATAGGCTGGGGTCTTGGGCGTCTGTTGCTGTGACAAACGCCATGACCAGAAGCAAACTGGGAGGAAAGGGCTTAATTGGCTTACGCCTCCTCACTGTAGTCCATCATGGAACCAAGTCAGGACAGGAACCCGGAGGCAGGAGCTGATGCAGAGGCCGTGGATTCGCTCTCCCCGGCTTGCTCAGCCTGTTTTCTGACAGAACTCAGGACCGCCAGCCCAGGCATGGGAGCACCCATAATGAGCGGGGCCCCGGCCCTCCCCCATCAGGCACTAAGAAAATGCCCAACAGCTGGATCTCGAGGAGGCATTTTCTCAGTTGAGGTTTCCTCCTTCCAGAAAACTCTAGCTTGTGTGAAGTGGACGTAAGACTAGCCAGCACAGCTGGTAAGCAGGCTCAGAGCACTCACCCAGATTACTCGGGAATCTACAGCCCCTGAGACATACCCAGGACTTGCACCCAGGCCCACCTGACTGCAAAGCCCATGTATGTAAACTTTGGGTTGTTTTGTTTTTGTTGTCTTGTTTTGTTTTTTAAAGCTTTCTCTACCAACTCCCAAGCCAACGCCAGTCTCAGTTCAGTCCCTAGGGCATCAGGGAATATGGCTGCTCGACCTGTCCACACTGGCCCTTGACCACCAACCTCTGCCAGATGTTCACCTCACCAATGTTGCCGTGCAGAAGACATCTCCAGACTACCACCCCAACAAGGTGAGGAAGCTAGGCACCTACCTCTCTTCTGGGTCAAGTGGGTGGGGCAAGCAGAGTGACATGGAGCCAAAGATAGGCCCCAGTTTACCAGAGAGGGCAAGATCACCCTTCCCATCTGCAGAGCTAGGGCAAGGCTATAGTGCAGAGACACTTGGCATGAACCTCAGCATTTGAATGTCAAACTAACATAATCCTAAAGAAAATGTGCTCTATCTTCCTGTCTTGGGTGTCTCTTATTGATCAGTTGGTATGCCCTACAGATGTTCTGCCTATCAAGCATCAGTCTATTCATATATCTCCCTGTTTCATCTATCTGCCTGCCTGCCTATCTATCTATCTATCTATCTATCTATCTATCTATCTATCTATCTATC